AAAGAGGCAGACAGGAGGAAAAAGTGAATGAATTAGCATAGGCCTGAGACAGAGGGGGAGGGGGAAAAGGCTCCAATGTGATGGAGAGGATTTGTGGGAAGGAGAAGTGGAGTATAGAGAGAAAATTTAATCAGAGTAGAAGAATATGATTTTAAGTGTCGGTATCCAGGCTTTGGTTGTCTCCGAGCTACTCAGATACAAATGGTAATTATAACTACATGATAATTTAATTGCAGTTAACCATATGAATAATAATTCAGTTATTCTTATAGAAGAATTCTGGATTTAAAGTGATGTGAGCAAGAAGATGGAGGGTTTAGTAGCCAAAACTAGTAATAAGGAAAGTTCAATATGTGTTTTGATACGATGGATGGAAAAATAGTTGTTTGATGAGCAATTACTACAGAATTCGCAGGGTTTAGTGACAGAGTGGATATGGTGGGAGGAGTTAAGGTGGAGCTCTGGTCCTGGAAGAAAGTTGAAGGCATGAAAATAGAATATTTGATGGGAAAAGGGGAGAAAAATGACATGGTTTCCTGGGAAAACAATAAAAGTTTACTTGTTCATGACACAGGATTAGATGATTAAAAGAGGAGCAAATTTAAACTGAAGAATAAAGTTTTTAACCTCTTTTTCTTAGAACTTTTTGGTGAAATAAGAAAGAAAAGAAGTGGGGACAAAACCAAGGATTTCTAAAGGAATTTAGCGAGCCCTGGGAAAGAAACAGATTCCAGAACAGATGATGGATGAAGAAGGAATTCACAGTGCTAAGACAACCAGGCAAAGAGAGAATTTTGAAAGCACAGGAAAAAAAGTGAAAACTTTTGTTGTAAGTCACCAGTCAAGAAAATGAGGATGTGAGTCTGTCCCTAAGAGCAGAATAAGAGGGCACAATGAGATCTCAGTGAGATTGCCTCAGATGAATATGAAGTTAAAAATTGGAAGGCATCACTCAAGATAATCTATTAAGTAAATATAAAGACATTATTTTACCAGGGTAGCTACCATTGTAGAAAGAGGATCTAGGAAAAGGTAATATTGTTCTGGAATAATAACTCCAATTTGTAAGCAGAAGGATTATTCCAGAATAGGTGGTCTGAATAGAGGAGCTTCTCTTGAATAGCTAAGTTATACTAGTATTTCTGTAGCTGTACAGTTTTCTAAAATAGCTGTTCCAGGCATTTTCCACCATGGAAAGAAAGCCCCTTCCCTATTTATGAGTTCCTACAATGGCAAGACAAGTAAAGTGTGTTTTTTATCACACTGCCTTCATACACTTTGCAATAACACAAAAAGGGAAAAAAGATACTAACAGAAAAAAAAGTTTAGAAAGCATTCTAATTTTGTCATTTGAGTGCATCTGATTTTAACTAAAAGACTAACAGTTGCATGATCATTGTCTGTCAGCTCAAACTTCAGAATTAGAGACTTTTAAAAACATTTGATTCAAAATAGTTTCTCTCTATAGAGAAGCAAAGCCAGGGGACAAAAATATGTCCCAGTCATTTCTGAATTTTGTTAATGGAGTTTAGACATGGTATATATGTCCTGGCTTTCTGTAGTTCATCACTACCAGTGATATACATCTGACAATAGTGTTTGGATTAAAAACAGTTCGTTGAGAAGGTGTGACAACCTCCCTGCTGATATCTGTCTGCCAGATCTATACTGAAAAAAACAGCAGTGGAGCAGGATGGTGCAATAAGAAGTGAATGAGCTTGTGAGCTGCAGACGAACAGGAGCTGGAATGAATTTCTGTAATTCCAGCCAGACTTTCATTAATTAATCAGTATGCCTATTAGACATATAAAATTAATAGCTAGACAGAAGCTATAATCTTCACTGGATAGCACAGTTCTCTGATACTGGTCCTTTTATTTCTAAGTGAAAGGAAGTTTCTTTTACAGAATTCCTGAGAAGAAAATGGTATAAGAAAAGCCATTTTTTATCCAATTTTTTTAGTTAGTTACTTTTTTTAAAATAGTTAGTTTTGTGTGGTTTGGGTTTTTTTAAGGCTATTAGAAAGGATTACTTTTGAAGATCATACAGAAAAGAATTTTGAAGGATTGTTTCAGCATGTTCAGAAGGTATCAAGAGGCAGGTGTTTTTGTCTAACTAGCTATTTTTTTCTGTAAAGGTGAAGAGCATCTAATGATTGTTATTAAGACCCTTGAGAACTGGATGAGTTAAACCAAGCAACTAGTCAGCACCAGAATAAGCTGATACACTCAATCAATACTTAGGAGATTATTTTTCAGAGTCCCTCTGTCTTTGACTTCTGAGACTTGATTCTGAAAGCAGACCTGCAGCACAGCATCAGCAGACAAGCCTGGGAACTGGAATCCATAATTTTACTGCACATTAGGAATCATTCTCACTAATGGCAGAGTTTTTCTCACTCTCCAACTTGCACTAAATTCTTTCTGTTCCACAGATGGCAGCTGTCAGTTACCATTTTCTGCTGCACATGGGTTTATGGCTTGTCACCTTTCTCCTTGCCCACATCTCCATGTTTTAGAAAAGCTAAGCCTTTTTTACTATTATGTTGTCTAACAAATTAGCATAATTACATTCTAAATGTATTTTTGTTTTTTCCAAACTTGTATCTAACTTGAAGATTGTAGTATCTTCTCTGGATGTTTTTCAAACTGAAGGGGTACTGTGTGTCTGACAGTTTGCTCATCCTTTGCAAATACATATTTTATTCAACCAAGTGATACCACCTCTCTGTACAAGTATTGGCATTTTACTGTTCTTAAATTGCAGATCTCATCTCAACCCTTAGCTGGATTGTATATGTATTATCATTACTTACCTGTCATCATTTTGGCCTTTTCTCTTGATGGTGAAGGTTTACCTGCTGTTTGTATTCCAGATAGGAGTCCGAAAAGTGTTTCTTAAGTACTGGCAAGCTGACCATCTCAACGATTTGTGCCTTCAGCTTCAGAAGAAAATTATAACCTGCCAAAAAGGTAACAATTGCAGAAGAGTATTCCCGAGCTGTCACTTTGTACACTGAGCAGACTATTGCATAACAAAAAATTTTCTCCTCCTTGAAGAGTTGCTGTATTTTATATAATTCCCTACAAATATGTTTCCAGCTAACTACTTATACAGGTTTTTGAGGTGATACCAGCATTGGTAATGCTTGCAATTTCTGTTAGTCGAACATAATTTTATGGGAAACTGTTGACTGTAATTAAAACTTAGGGGAACTTGAATATTTCCTTTTTAAAGTATGTTTAGTGATTTTTCAAGGAATTAATATCACCTTTAACTTCTTTTTGCAAATCAAATAGAGTAACAATTATAAATAATTGCTATATGTTCAAATATATCAGCAGTGCATATAAAGCTAATAATGTAATATATTTAGTTGTCTTTATTTTTCCCCTTTTCTTACAGCTTTCATATTTGATAGTGCTTGGTTTTTTTATGTCTAGGTATTTTTTCCCCCTTTATGCCTGCGTTTGTACTAAGGTCACATTGACATTTTTTGGCACATTTTTAAAAGGAGGTATTATCCACTACCTCCTGATTTCCTGTTACTTCTGTTCCATTTCCTCTCAAAATCTCAAGTAACTGCTGAAAATGTGAATATTGCTTTGTTTGAAGAAGCTTCCTTCACACAATGCATTATTTATCTAATGGTTGATGTCTGCAGCAATTCCCATTATCGCCTTTTTAAAGGAAATTAATAATACAAAGATTTATCTTGGGTTTTTTTTCATCAGACTTAATATATAAACCCCTTTCACTTTAAATATCTGACTATCTGTTTGTCAATGTGAGGGTATAGTGAAAAAGAGCAAACCAAGAGAAAACCTGAAGCAAGTGAAATAAAAATCATGGCAGCCCAGGGGTGAATGTGGAGAGTGACAGTTAACACAGGCCACAGTTCAGCTCAGTGTATAACTTGTGCCTGATTTTTTGTGCAAATCACCCTGTTGTATTCACACCTTGAGAAAAGCAGTAGTGATTTATCCTCTTTCACTTCTCATGCTGACTTGTCAAAGAAAGAAAATATTTACCTTTCAGAGTCCATTTTACAAAGAGTGGTTTAATATAACCCTACACCAAAATGTAAAACACCTTCAGGTATGTCCATGTTTTGCAGAGGTAAGAGAACAGATGTCTGCCAAACTCTGTGTGAAAAATTGAGATAAGAAGTCTTTGTAGTGGATTGACCCTGTCTGGATGCCAGGTGCCCACAAAAGCTGCTCTATCACTCCCCTTCCTCAACTGGACAGAGGGGAGAAAATATAATGAAAGGCTCATGGGTCAAGAAAAGGACAGGGAGATCACTCACCAATTACCGGGACGGGCAAAACAGACTCACCTTGGGGAAAAATTAATTTAATTTATTATCAATCAAATCAGAGCAGGATAATGAGAAATAAAATCAAATTTTAAAACAGCTTTTCCCCACCCCTCCTTTCTTCCCGGGCTTAACTACATTCCTGATTTCTCTACCTCATCCCCCTGAGTGGCACAGGGGTATGGGGAATTGGTGTTGCTGACAGTTCACAGAGGCACTGACACCATTGCTGATGGGCTCAGCCTTGGCCAGTGGGGTGTCTGTCATGGAGCTGGCTGGCATTGGCTCTGTCAGACACAGGGAAAGCTTCTCACAGCTTCTCATAGAAACCACCTCTGTAGACCTGCCACTACCAAAGCTTTGCCCTGTAAACCCAATAAAATCTTATTGGATCCTTACAAAAATATTTATTCTGGTTTTACTTCTAGCCCTCCTTAATCAGTCTAACTTGAAAAGTCTTTTTCACCAAAACTATGTGTTCAAAATTTTTATCGAGGCTGTCACTCATCTGCATGTTTTTTATGGCCTGGGAAACCCGAGAAAATCAAGAACTTTCATGAATAGTGACTAGCTAGACATCCATTTGACTATGTTACCTCATGAAATAAGCTGCCCTTTGCAAACAGGTACAATTGTAAACTTGTAGAATTAGCATACCAAAGGGCTCTGGCAGGTTGGAAATAGGATATGGTACCTGTGTGTTGTTCTCATGTAATCCCTAGAATTGGGATCCATAGACTTTTAAACTGGGATGGTGATGTTTAATGAGTAATGATATCAGTCCTGCTGCATATCCATATTTTTCAGCCCTCATACGTTGCATTCAGAGGACTTTGGAAGCTAAATCTCTCTTGGCACTATATTGACTAATAGGAAAAGTAATCAATAATTCCTGTGTCAGGTTTAAAATGTAGTATCATATACCCGTATAAGAACTTAACTCAAAGGGAAAACAAGTCTTGTCCAAAATTCTGAACTGTTTATCTCATTCATACTAGCAATCCCTTCAGCATTCCCATAAATTTGAGCAAAAACAAACCAAACCAGATAAGTCTCTTTCTATTACACTGAAAGCTAACTTACACAGGCAAAGAAAGGAATCAAACCAAAGTGAAAGCATGTGTACAAAAACTTTTTTATTTAAAAACAGATCTGTGAGTTCAAGGACTTTGTCATATTTTTTTCACAGGTATGAGAACTACATATGGGAAGTTTTTACCTTATTGAATCGCTGAGAAAATTGTTTGTACCTTTAGGAAAGTCCATCATGCTGATGTTCTTCCACTAGAGTTCATGTAGATTAGGAATTAACTTAAAAATATTGTATACACAATAGTTAATGCATTTCTCACATAACCCAGATCTATGGTCTACTTAAATTTCAATTATTCTGATCTTTATCTTTAGATGAACTGTAAAGAAGTAGATATTCTTCTGCCCTGTGGGTGCTAACCTCAATTATTTTAATTTCCATAAGTAAGAAATATTTTAGATCTACATAAATGAGAAGCAAGTTCAGAAGACAATCTTAGCACCCCTACAGTAGTAGATGAAACTGAGCAGTAAAGGTCTAGGAGATGACAATTTAATTTCACAGCAGTTTTTGAGGTTATGAAATTGTTGTTTTGTTCTATGTTGAAATGAAGACAAAATCTTTCAAATGCTCTCATACAGAAGGTAGTGTGGTGAAATGTACATCTTCTAGTGAAAACATGAACTACTCAGTTCATGAAAATGTGTGCTAAAGAAAAGACGAGTGTCTGTCTGCCAACCCTTCCTGACAAAACTGTTGAATGTTTCTTCAAACCATCTCAATTTTTATTAAAGTTCATAGTTCAGAGTAGCTGTACAGTCTCTAAATGCAACAGCTGGCTGTTCTGGATATCATTTTACTGGACCATCCTAGCAGGCTACTCTGCCTTGTTCATGCCTGCTAACAATCCTACCGAAGGATTGACCTCTGTATTTCCTTTTTTTAATCAACCTTAGTGGTGTTACTGAATATTTTTTTCATCAAGGTAAAAGTACACACATACACACACTTGTAAATATATTACTTTAAAATACAGGCTTTATTCCAAAGTCATCCAGGATGTGATGCTTAACTATTTGTCAAATACCCTGTCTGCTCTGCAGCAGATTAAGTTTAAAGAAAATATTGGAAATGAGGGAATAATTTTTGATTATTAATCTCTCTTGAATTTTTCATACTTGTGAGCACTGAGCTCTGATAATGTCCTATGCTGATGTTCATTACCTTTGCAACAACAACATACTGAATTCAGTCTCAGTAATGTGTGTATTCAATGTGAATACTCTCATAATGTTGTCAACAAGTATCTGTACTATTAATTGTCTTTTCAACTAAATTGGGTAAATGCATTAATGTTTCAGGTTTTGAAGAAGTCAGATTTTATAGGATGTAACAAAAGGTACTGGAAATGGCATAGCTGGCTTTGATTGCAAAATATAAGCCTTCAAAATTGTCCATTTTAAGTAATCTCAAAGTACCTGGACTTGAATGTTTCCAAGCCCAGTGAGTTTTGGGTAGGAGCAGTATTAGTATGTTAACATTAACCTTTCTTATATTTCATCAGTTGGGCACTGGGCATCTCTAAAAAATGTCTTATTTTAAATATCTAAACAAGGACATAGAAGAAGGTAGAAAATACTTTATATTGTCCTGCATTTTAGCTGTTTATTTTATTTAATAACATTTTAGATTCATAGAAGACTAATTGTGACTTTCTCTATTTACATTTTTCTTTTAGATTAATTCAGCTTGACTCTGTCATTTGATGTTGTTCTGCATTGTTCCTAAGACTGACACTTAATTACTTTGTTAAAAAGACCTAATACATTTACTCATTTTTTTACCTTCTAGTCTTAATATTAACATTTTTAGTATTTTCCCCCAAACTCAAACCAACACCTTAAACAGGTTATTGCCTGCTGACTTCACATATAAAAAACTTGCAGTGACAAGAATGAGAGTAACCATAATAAGCAATGATGAAGTTCAACCTATTTTTGATACGTGTAAGTTGTTGTACTGAAAATCAACAATATTTCAGGCAAGAGGTGAAAAATTACACATCTGGAAAGAATCAGGAACTTTAAAAACAAACAAACAAAACAAGCAAACAAACAAAAAACAAAACAACACCAAAACCACAAACAAAGCACTTTTGGTTAGCATATATCTTCCTTCTTAGCCAAAACATACACTCAGAGAATTCTAATACCACCCTGTTGCAAGTGGAGTGATTAACTTGGTGCCAAATTCATCATGGCCACAGAGGTCCCTGTACCTTTTGTTTCTGTTCAGCTGTGTACTTCTGAAAATTGAGGGGATTGGGTGGTATTTAGGTTGAGTGGAATTTATTTTAATGAATATACATACTTAGAAAAGTAGTACAGAAAGCTATTATAGGCCATACACCAAAATATTCTCCCAACATAAAGCTGACAAAGAGTGTGAAAAATAGGCCTAATAATAGATACATAAAGCTGATGCAATGCAGATGAAAATTTTAAACTGAAAAATGCAGACTTGATGTGACAGATACATTTGAGAAATTTGCATTAGATTAATCTAATTGTTTTTGCTGAAAGGAAATGTGCAACAAAAGGTCTTTAAATCTCATTAAAGAATCTTATGTTGGTCTTGATTTTTTTTAGGTAGAGCAAAAAATGTAAAGCATTTTTTTAAGTTGACCAAAAGCAAACGATCATTAAATTCCTACTGCATTCAATGAAACAATCATTAATTCAGGGTTTCATTTTGAAACAAATGAACTTTTGACCTTTGCAGTGTAAATGTATGCTTTCACAATGTGCAGCATACATCCAAGTTTACAGTTCTAATGTAATAAAAAATAGCATTCAGTGAAAGTAAACATTTTAAGTTGTGATAGCTCAAATTTATGAATGAATTTACTATTATCACTACTTTGTTTTAAGCACTGACAGTAGAAAACAGAAAGAGTTCCATTTTAATGTTATTCATATGCCATCACATTTCTTTAATTCTTTGTGTAAGACATTGACTGAACTTATTTGCTCATGTTTACAGGACAACACACAGTAATATTAAGTTATTCATTAATTAATTAGTTGTCTTTGGTCCATAATTTTTCCTTCTGTTATGGTAGTTGTAAGAGGTTTCCTAGCCCGCCAGCACTTGCTACAGAAGATGAGCATCAAACAGCAAGAGGTCACCTCAATCAAAAGCTTTTTGCAGAATGCCTGATATGGGATTAAAAACATATGATGCCCTGGTCATTCAAAACGCTTCTGACATTGCTCGAGAAAATGACCGGCTCCGCAATGAGATGAACACTGCTTACCATAGGGAAAAGTTAGAGGCTAGAAAGAGACCAGAAGAATGCCACAAAAGGTAAGATGAGAGAATATCTACTGTGAAGAATTAAAGCATTTCTTCAGTTTTAGTGATTTCCTTCCCTGCTTAGAAAGTCATAGAAATTACTGAGGAATTGCAAGAAGATTCTCAAGTATATACTCAGCCCAAATCAATGTTAGGCCCTATTTTTTTCTCTGTGTCAGGTAATTAAGTCTAGAAATTTAAGACGACCTCCAATATCCTATTCAGGGGACACTGGGCTTTATAGGAATTTATTCAAGCCTCTGAGGCATTTATTTTTTACAGATATAGTTTTTAATTCTGTGATCAATAGGTTGTAGTTGAACTTTCATCAAACCAAAGAAACAAAAGAAAAATTCCTCCAACTTAGACTTCCAACATTGTTAAATTTCCAGGATAATTAAAAACAGCTATAAAAGCATTAAAATGCGATAAAGTCCAGACTAAGAAATCCCGATTACACATTGAACTAGGTAGATTTATTGTGAGGAGAATTCTTTCCTCTTATTTAAAAATAGGCAAATGTTTTTTTGTTTAACGCCCATCAGAGTTTTCAGGAGTACCTATTTTACAAACCCAGTAAATGCTGGAGAGTCTTTCTCTAAGAACTGAGTCCCTGATCTCTTTTCTCTCAGACAGCTGAATGGGCAGAGATAGCATTTACAGTTAATAGGTATATTTCTATAACAGGAACGTGTCTATAGCTCGCTGGACGTATAAATGTTTATTTTTCCATAGGAACTTAATTTTTATCCAGAACAACTCCTTTTGCTTTCATTGCTTTTGTCAGTGACTTTTATTAAAGTGAAAATGGCAGTGCATCTGCTTAATTAGCTTCAAATATCCCAGTGATTACATATTGGAGGAAATGCCTTTGTAGGAAAGACTGTAATTAAACATTACAGTGAAAACAAATTATCCACTGAACACCATGCTTTCATCTTTAGCTATTTCATTTACTACATGGGCAGCTGGCTATATCCTGTGCATGAATTCCAGCTCTGCTGGTGATTTGCCATGCAGAAATACAATTTATAAAACAAATGCTTGAGGATTTGTTTGTAAAAGGAGGGTATAGACATCTTCTATCTAATACCTTACCACTCTAAGTTAAAATGTTGTCAACATTTTTATTTTTTCAGGGATAAAATGTTTGAAGAAATTTTGTTTAAAATCAATCTATTGAAAGCAGCTGATAAACATTTCTCAATACATATTGAAATAGCAAAAAAAAGAAAAAAAAAGGAATAAGTAAAAGTTCAAAACTGCTATTGAAATAACTGAACATAATGTCATAATTAATACTATTAAAATGATAACTAATAATGAAGCTTAAACAGGTAGATACGTAGATATCTGGGTGGAATTGCTTAAGCAGCCAATGTAGCTGGTAAAAAGGTCATCTATATTTTAAAGATTTGCATTATCTAAATAGAATTTATAGTTGTCTTTTTAGAAAATAATGATAAAGGCTCAGCTTTTGCTGCCTCAGTAACTTTCTATTAAAATGGATTTCCCAGAAATTATAATTCAGATTGAAAACCCAGCTTTTGATTGTGTGTAACAATCAAAGTGTGAACAATTCATTCAGTGAATGTCTGATCAACAGTATGAAACTGCTTAAAGAAGGCTGCATTTGTGTGAAAAGGGGCCAGTGTCCTGATTTATCATGAAACAGGAAATGGAAGAAAGCTAGCAGCTTGATCTGGATTTGTTTGTCAGAAGATTACTACACACATCCCCTCGACACAGCAGGGGAGTTGTGAGATTGTTTACCAAAAAGCTGTTGTTATGTTTGCATGAACAGGTTCATTGTTATCACTTGAATAATGCATCTGGGCCTCTTTTCTGTGTTTTCAGAGCTGAAGACAAGGGTGGGAAGGTCTCTGAGGACAGCTTTGCTGGCTGTCGAACGCCTAAGCACTTTCATTCCAGCTCCGTCCCTGTCCCCATGGCAGTGGACAGCTTGGTACATTCTGCGGCTGGGTCATCCATCAGATCCCCCTCCCTGCACTCTGTGTTCAGCATGGATGATAGCAATAGCCTGCCATCACCAAGGAAACAGCCTCCTCCCAAGCCAAAGAGGGACCCCAACACACGACTGAGCGCTTCGTACGAGGCTGTTAGTGCTTGCTTGTCGGCAGCTTCTAAGGAAGCCGCTAATGAAGGTTAGGCATAAAGGGAGAAACAGTCGCAAACATTACTCTAGGTTATTGATTTGTTCTTTTCACTTTGATCCTTTTAAACACAGCCAAGTGCCTTTGAAAAGTCCTGCTTCCCTGAAATATTTTAGTGGCAGTAAATAAAATTAGTCAATCTGTCATTTGTTTCCAAATCAGCAAATAATACTTGTGTTCTAATTGCCTAGTTTGTCAACAACCAAAATCTATCTACAGAATTCCCTCTAGAGACAAACGATCTGTCAACTTGAGCTACTCTACCCCACTGACCATTTTATTTCACCTTTTAAACTATGTGTTAGTATACCTTATATCACTGAAACAGAATGCTCGAACCTTAAATTTCACAAAGTTAAACATTATTCTCCTACTTTTTCTCTATGTTCACATGAATAACTTAATGCATTCAGTGGTTTATGTTTGTGCCATAACTTGCTTACACTGAATTATTTGTTCAGAAGGAAATTGCTATGAAAGTCCCAAAGTGTCTCAAGGCATTATAGTGCATACAGAATGATTTTGAGTTCAGTTGTTCTATTCTCCTTCAACCTTGAAGTGAATGAGTAGATGAAGGGGAGGAATGCATTCTGCTTTTCCTTGATAGGCCTGTCTCGTCATACTTTGTGTAAAAGATCCTCTAGGCTTATCAGGAAAGATCATAGCATCGTAGAATGTTTTGGGTTGGAAGGGACCTTAATGATCATCTAGTTCCAACCCCCCTGCCATCAGCAGGGACACCTTCCACTAGACCAGGTTGCTCAAAGCCCCATCCAACCTGGCCTTAAACACTTACAGGGAGTTCCAGGGAGGGGACATCCACGACTTCCTTGGGCAACCTGTTCCAGTGTCTGAAAGAATAAAGTAAAGAATTTACTTCCTCATAGTAAAGAATTTCTTCCTAATATCTAATCTAAACCTACCCTCTTTCAGTTTAGAGCCATGTCCCGTTGTTCTATCATTAACTGCCCTTATGAAAAGTCCCTCCCCAGCTTCCTTGTAGGCTCCCTTCAGGTACTGGAAGGCCACTATAAGGTCTCTTCAGAGTCTTCTCTTCTCCAGGCTGAACAGCCCCAACTCTCTCAGCCTGTCCTCATAGGAGAGGTACTCCAGCCCTTTAATCCTCATGTCCCTCCTCTGGGCTCACTCCAACAGTTCCATGTTCTTCTTATGTTAGAGGCTCCAGAGCTGAATACAGTACTCCAGATGCAGTCTCAGGAGAACAGAGTAGAGGGGGAGAATGATCTCCCTCAACCTGCTGGCAACACTTCTTTTTATGCAGCCTGACATATGGTTGGCCTTCTCAACTGCAAGCGTACATTGCCAGATCACACTAAACTTCTCATCAACCAACACCTCACCCCCAAGTCCTTTTTAGGACTCTCTCAGTCATTCTCTGTCCAGCCTGTATTTGCGCTTGGGATTGTCCCGACCCATGTGAAGGACCTTCCACTTGGCTTTGTTAAACTTCATGCATCCATCCTTCAGGCTGAGTTTTAAGCTATGCATAATCATTCTCTAGTCCTGCATACAATGGGTGGAAACCTTTGCAGTACCCTCATGCAAAATAATTACTGTTCTCATATCCAGTTCATTGGATGCAAGTCCATTTTTCTTAACCTCTTGTTTACTTATTCAAGCTCTGTGTGAGAATAGATGAATTGTGTCCAATATGCTTTTAAACTAGTATGGCTTAAGGAGCTCTGTAATGGTTTTGACTTTCTGTGCCCAGATCTGCAAGAGATGGTTGATTTATGAGAAAGATGTGGTCTTAACAATAATGCTTGTAAACACACACAGAATAACTTCAGAATTCTTCTTGTGTATGAAACCATAGAGCCAGTTTCCCTGCTGTATACTCATTTTCCAAGAATTAAGTCAGTTTCCTGATTCTTTGTCCAAAATCAGCTTTGATTTACACCATCTAATTTTGATCTTAAACGACCAATCACCTAGGTATCTAGTCTCTCCACCCCATACATGCCTGGAGGCTGTGAAAAGACATCTAGTTTAGTTAACTGTATACTCAGTGGGAGATGCCCTTAGGCTATGCGATTCCCTAACTTTATAAATTATTTCCACACCTGCAGTACAACAGAAGAAAAGATAAGCATAATATCTGCCTATAATTAGAGTTTTATAGATACTACATAGAAGAGTTACTTCAGCTACTGGCAATGGCATGTTTGCCAAAGTAGCATCATCCTGAAACTCCTAGTTAAAAGCATACCCCTCTCCCTTAGGCAAAAGGAATAAAAAGCATATATTTCCTTGTGTTACAGACCTTACAGTGAACACTTGGATTCAAAAGTTAATCTCCTCAAGTGTTAGTTCTTATCTTTTAGTGGCAGTAGAGACTACCAAAGCAGATTATATGCCCAAGTAGCAAAGGCTTGTGGTTTGGAAGGTGAAAGTTCTGCATTCCATTCCTTGAATTATTTATACTTTTGACTGAATCCCTGTGTTTGTGACTGCTGCTCATTGTAAAACTATATGGGCAACATTTGAAGACTTAAATACTAGACCTGTGTAAGAAAAAAAAATGATTTTACTCTGTTAGTAACACAGACCATTTTCGCTTTCCTAGTACTGACCCGTCCAAGACCACACAGTGATGACTATAGTACCATGAAAAAAATACCTCCCAGAAAACCAAAACGAAGTCCCAATACAAAACTTAGTGGCTCTTATGAAGAAATACCTGGCCAAAAGCCTGGGGATGTAAAACAGGCAACCACAGTATCTAAACCAGTTGGCTATGACACTGTGACTGCACAGAGAGCAGCTTCTGCTGATGGGCCACAACATGGCGTGTTGAGTCTCTATATGTCACAAGAAGAGGAGGAAAATGAGCCTGTCTATATTGAAATGGTAGGGAATGCAATGAAAAGCAGTTCTGCTGAAGCAGAAAGCCCAGAACAAGGAGAGTCTGTATATGAAGAAATGAAATATTTTCTACCAGAAGAAGGAAGCAATGGTAATGGAATAATTCCAGTAGTGACTGGATCTCCTCCCCAGTTGTTTGAAAGCAAAAGAAATATTAATATTGAAGATGGAACATTAGATGGAAACAGTCAAGCAGCTTTGATCTGTAAGGACTCCTGTGATATTCCAGCTCCTTTCCCTAATTTGCTCCCCCACAGGCCACCACTTCTTGTATTTCCTCCAACTCCTGTCACATGTTCACCTGCTTCTGATGAATCACCTCTAACACCACTAGAAGTCAAAAAGCTTCCTGTCTTGGAAACCAACCTAAAATACCCTGTGCAGTCAGAAGGCTCAAGTCCATTATCACCACAGTATTCCAAAAGCCAGAAAGGGGAGAATGAAAGACCAGCATCTCCAGGCTTGGTTGTGTTCAATGTTTCCAGCAAAGTGACTCCTCCTTCCACACCACCTCCTCCTCTCCCACCACCCCCTCCTCCTGTACCACCTCCTATTTCCTACCGGGCTTCCACACATTTTGCATTTCCTCCAGAGACTTGTACCAGTTTTCTGGTTAATACAGGGAAAACAGGTGTGAACTCAGATCTGTCAAAAGTACCTCAGAGACCAAATCCTGCTCAGCTTGGGTGTTCTTCTTCTGCATTCTCAAAACTGCCTTACTCCCCAAAAGTGGCAAGAGCAGATCACAGGAAATTGAACTCAAATTCATCATCTTCATTTCCATACAGCCCTACAAATTCAAGGTCATTGACCAGTCCCCTTGATGAGTTAACCAGCTTGTTCAACTCAGGACGGAGTGTTCTACGAAAATCTGCAGCAGGACGTAAGATCAGGGAGCCAGAAGGTAAGACATATCTCTGTGCTTCTGTATAGTGTATTTCTTCTGCACCAAAACTTTCTTACATTGGGAGTTGATAGAGTAGGTAAAAATACAAAACAAAACCTTTGTTTGATTTTTTTGTTAAAGAAAGATCTGTTCTAGTCGTAAGAAACACATATAGAAAATACATTGCACATAAAATTATAGATCTTCAGGTTTTCTTTGAGATGTCAACGTTTCTTTTACCAAAATATTTGTATTTATATTGATTATTTTTAACATTCCAGCACTCTCAGTAAAATAAACATGGATGTTACATCATGTGAATATGAGTTTATGGTATTAATGTACAGTAATATAAATATATGTCAAGGTGTCTGGTAGATAGCATGTACTTTAACTTGAAGACTTTCTTTTAAGGTTTCACTGTTTCATTTCCATGAAATTTTGAATTTGGTGATATAGCCATTATTATTGTCCTAAATAAGGCTGAGATAGAGAGTCACGCAGCAAACTATATTTATTTCCCTTATCTATCCTTTTGTTCTTACCTTTCCTGTCATTTACATACACTTAGGTACATACCCAGAGATTACTCGCTATCCTGACTTTCTGGCATATGGAGAATATCTTTTGTATCTAGTGCAAAAGCCAACGGTAAAAAGAAGTGAAGCTTACTGTTTTGCTAGAGGTTTTTGAGACCACAGTCCTCAGACACTATCACTTAACTATTTGCCTTGTCCAGATAGTAAAGGCTTTAATGTTGTTACTGGAACAAATCTGTGGATCTTATGAATACAGAAAATTCATCCTGAAGCTAACAGATTCAGTTAGCTTCTCTTTAAGGGTGAGATGCTTCTGACCTAACTGTGTCCATCTGAAAGCTCAATATGTAGGCAACAAATCCTTAGACTTTGAAGAGACAGTCATTTTGAGAGTTTAATTCCTCCCATATATCTTTCTCCATTGGGTATGTGGAAAGCTTAGATGATTAAACTAGTAGAGTTGTAACTTCTAAGTGATTAAAGCTCAAGTATATCTCAGTTCTACTTATTAGTTACAACACTCACTCCAGTCTTCACATTACTTTTCTGGTTTTAAAAAAAGTGTCCTGTTGAAAATAGTCAGTGTGCTGTATACAGAAACTTCTCTCTCCAGTAGTGTTTTCCAAATATAAAATTTAGTGCATTTAAAATTCAGAGTGAAAAAAACTCTAGATTGTTTTCTCTGCTTCTTCACTTCTGTCTCTCCAAACAGCTTGTCTTATTTAAGAGCTGTGTGCATTGTATTCAGAATGGGCAATATGAAGTCCTGTTTTTGAAATATAAAAGTAAACAGTAGAGAATGGGATAGATTATCTTCTTATTCATTGTCCATTTTCTTAAATATATACTGTTCCATTGATTTCAGTATCATATCATGATTTATGCAGCTATAATAAAACAGAAGCAGGTGTTTGTGCTTCCTCTGAGTATACGTATGCCTGTCTCTGTGCCACTCTGTCTCTCTGTCCCTAAGAACCTTGTCAGCCTTCAGCCAAAACCCCTTTCAACAAAATACAACAAGGAGATAAAGGTCTCAACACTAATTGACTTACTACAGGTTTCATGAAAGTTAGTGGCTAGGTGGAGACAAGAGACTTAACACTGGGAGAAAGGCTCCTACCACCTATCAGAGGAACTGTGGTGGACAGAACCCTTGTGAGTCCTCCAGACCCTGAAAAAGATTTAGCTGTATCTTGCATGTTCCTAGATGCCCAATTCAATCAGCCATGAGGTATGAACTGAGATTTTATCAGTTCTCAACCTCAAGAGAATGCCTTGTTTGTTGCACATGAATTGATGGCATTTGTATAGGAGATGTTGCAGTAGTTTCGCTTGCTTTGGAAAAATTACTTGATAACATTCAACACCTATAAATGTATGTAGAATTTGTTTTGTTTTGTTTATTTTGTATTTGACTTGTGGGTCTGGCTTTATTTTATGGATAATACATTTTTATCTGCTGGGAAGTAACTATTAAAGTCAACTCTCTGGATGTTTCTTCTCAAGGCTCTCTCAGTGTACCTGGTGAGGAAGCGTGTTAAGCCTCCTCCAACCAAGTAACAAAACTGACCTTTACCTTAAAAAATAGATGTTGCTTTGGGACGGATGATTTTTTTGCAAACTGAATTTTCAACTAAATATGACCAAGATAGAATTTAGTTTGGGTCTCCTGTGGGCTGAAGCTGGTGCATTAAGAGAGGCTACCATATAAAAACTCTAAATTTACCTTTCACATGGAAAATGTTGTACTTCTAAATATTTCATCAAGGCAGCACTAAGTATGAAAGATCAAAGTTCAAGAAAGATATACAATAAAAACCCTGAATCAATATTTTATGAGCTAGGAAGCTACAGTATAATACTAAGTGCGGTTACATGTGAATAGTTCAATGATGAGCAGATGGATTGAAAGTAACAAGCAAATACAGATGAATGTATGTGCATGTTTTTACAATTTACCTTTTGTAATGCACTTCATGTGTTTGGTTCATTTCTAGGGTAACTGCTGGAAAAAATATATTTTATTTAACCTGTGATGCAAAGTAATAAGACAGCAATCAGCAGAGTGGACTTTGTTATGTAGAACTAGAAGTTGTCCGTGTCTTACCTTCTGATTTTTTTATCACCTGTTACCTAATGCATAATAAGTTCCTGGAAGACTCCTCCATTTCTTCTTTTTTGTCATTTGTAGTATTATATTTATAGGAGATGATATGATAAAAAAATAAATAATAGAAATTCATTAAAATTGAAGACATACCCTAGAGCAGCACTCTGTAATGTGCAATTTCCTTTAATTCCATAAGTTATAACCTACCAAGAACCTTAACAAAAAACAAAAAGTAAAATTGTGGGCCATTTTGAAGTCAAGGAGAGTTAGCTATGGGAATCAATAAGCTTCTGTATGGGATCATCAGCCTTTGAGATAAAAGCCTCCTTGCCAATGAAAGTGCAATACAGACAGATCCCCCAACATGCCTCCCTCTTGCCTCGAGGAGTAATTTCAAGGCCTGAGAACACTGATTTCCTTTTGGCTCCTGACCTCTCAGTGAGAAATGATCATCCAGAATTACAATAGAATGAATTAGTGGTATTCTGATGGACTGTGGACTTATTGTGAACTGAACTGAGAGCATTCCTCTTTCACAGAGTCAACAAAAGAAAGAATCAGATGGCAACAATTTTAATTACCTGGTGACCTTGCCTGGCTATTTTTTTTTTTTTATATGACAGTAGCATCTACTGGTTCAAGCAATGATCACAATCATACAGTATGCAATTTCTTGAAAATAATAATAGGAAAAGTTTTCTGCTCTGCAGAGTTATACTTGAAATAAGCAAAAGTGTAACAGGTAAGAACTGAGATAAAGTTATTTCTCCAAGGCTGAAAAGAGTTGTCATTGAAGCTACAGCTGTCCACATAAAACAAGACTTAGAGCAGATGAGTGATAATACATGCACACAGACTTTTCTTCTATTCTCTATGATTTCTAGAAGTAGAAACTTTAGTTTGCAAGACAAATAGAAACTGAATGGTCGTGTGCAGAGACCCTACTCCGATATTTCTAGACAAGAACTTAGATTTGCAATTAGACTTCATGAAACCCAATTCAATGCCTTAGTCACAAAACTGCACTCTCTAGCAGAATGTACAAATATTTTTAACTATTAAACATATAAGACATTCCTTATGTAAGGAAGAGAGACAATTACACGTTTAAGCATTTCATGTTAAAAATTTGTGGAGCAAGGACAGAATTTTCTTTTCCTCAACATGGATGAATGATACTCATATTGGTATGTCGTGGTGTTATTTCTCTTGATTGGTACAGCTGATATTAGATTATTCCATACAAAGGGGAATCGTATCAGCTTCAGAACGAAAGATGGAAAAATTCCCAGCCCGTCATCCATGCTCAGATTGGCAGAGTATTCATATGGGTTCTAAAGGGAAAGGAGCAAAGGAAATAAGATTTTCCGTTAACCTGGGTGAATTTCCTTACCATCAGGCTATTGAGGTAAAGACTTAATGCCTTCTCTCCTTCCTGCATGTTGAGAAAAGATTAATATGGGTGCTTGACTTCTGTGTCTGACCAAAAGAAAATGTGCAAGTTTGCAACCCCAGATTTAGGTGCCTGTGAAACAAAATTAAGAAGAGCTTTCCTTCATGTAGGTCATCAATGTATAGGCTTCCAAGTTTTGTGAATTACTGTGTTTCAATACAAGTAGATCTGTATATGCAAGTGTATACATGCTTCATTGACCTATTCCATTCCAAAGTAGTTTAGTAACTTAAACAGTAACAACAGAAAAGACACACAAAGAGTAGATTGTTAACACAATATTGGTATTGTTCAAATGCTTGCCCAGTATCTTTGGCATCCATTAACTATATGAATCCCTTCTTTACCTGCTTCCTAAATGAGATATTTCCAAGGCAGGTAACTTCACATCTCAATGAATTATTCCACATTCTCCAGTCACTGGAAGTCACAGGAAGATAGTTACTACTGACAAATAATACAGATATTTAGACATACCTAGTTGGGGCTAAAGCTTACCAAATACTCTTTATTGAAATTGGCTCAAACTTGGAAAATAACAGGATTTAATGTGTATGTATGGGGAGTACTGTCATGTCAAAGGCATGTATCCCTTTGATAGCTAGTAAATAGTTTCCCTCTATCAGCAGATTAGAGTAAGCTATTGTGCCACTAATATCTCAACAGTGGATTGCAAATTAAATCCCTATTGGGGCTTCTGAGATGAAATCCCAGTCCCTTATCCTCTAAGCCACTCAGCTTTTCCTCTTAAGCAACTTAATAAAGATAATATTCACATCTGCATCTGATTATTCCTATATTACATTGCTACAATGTAATAGTTTTACTTTCTTTGTGGCAAAAGCTAACAACTTGTGAAACATGAGTAATACAGAAAGCTGTGTTGTCACCTTTTATCTTCTTTTACCTGTGAATG